AACTTCCTCAATATAAAAGAAAAAATAGCTTTAGAAAAGTATTTAGTATATTTATTAAAAATAGTTTACTAATATATAATTAAAAGAAAGTACTTTTTGTTATTAAATAAATTATTACCTAAGAAAATCTCTTAAAAAAGCTGAAAAGTATATTACTTGTAAGATAACTTAAAGCTAGAGAAACTTAAAAGTAGAGGAATGGAGTAGCTTTAAGAAGTATTAAACAAAGAAGAAGCTTGATAGATATCTACTTTATAAGCTTTATTTTAACTTTTATAAGAGATAGAGATATAATAAACTTAAAAAAAGTAGTAATTTTAAAAGCTTTTACTTTTTTTTTTTTATAAATCTTCTTTTTAGTTAAATTATTTATAATAAGTTATTATATAATAAAGTATTTATAAATAATAAAATAATCTTAAACTTTTATAGTTTTATAGTATTTAGATAGAAGTAAAAAAGCTTTATACTTTTATTAAATATTTTATTAAGTATTATAAGCTTTTAAGAAGTATTATTACTTATTAGCTAAAAAATAGGTTTATGAATAAAAGTAATATACATATCTTCTATAGTATTGATTATAATATAAATATAAGTAGTATGATATTTTACTATAATAGTATTTGACTTATTACTTTTTAAAAAAACCTTAAATAGAATAATTATATATTTATTATAGCTAAAGTATAAATATTAGTTATAGTATTTTAAGTTAAAGGAGTATTTATAGAGATAAAGCTTCTTATTATAAAAATTACTAGTAGTATACTTAAAGTATTCTACTTTATAATTCTTATTAGTCTTATTATTATATTTATTACTATTAAGAGTAATAATATAAACTTTTAAGAAATATTAGTTTATAAGAAAAGAAAAGAAAACTAAAGAAATATATTATTCTTCTTATTATATTAAATAAAATTAATATTATTACTACTATTTTAATAAGATTTAGCTTTAATAAAAGTATAAGAGATATTTTTTAGAGAAGATATTAATAAAAAATCTTAATAAAAATAAGAAGATATATTTCTAATATTTATCAGAAGTTTATTATTATTATTATCTTTAAAAATTTATTATTTTCTTAACTTTTAACTAGTTTATTTTAGCTTATAAATAAGAGTTTTAATTAGTATTCTTATTTAGTGTAAAGAGTAATATTAATTCTATATTATTTATAAGTTTTAGGAATCATAAAGATATTATAATTTTTAGTTATGAGAGAATTAATAATAATAAGGAAAATATTCTTTTTATTTTTAAGCTTCTTATTAACAAAAATAAACTATTTATAAATATTGTTTACTTTTTTACTTTATTTATAAATAGGTTTTATAATAATAAAATCTTTAAGAATAAGAGTAGTTAATACTTTTAATAAATCTATTAACAATAGTATTAGGAACATATCAATAAAAATATTAGTATAAGTAAACAGATATAAAATAGTTTTTATGAACTTCTTTAATAAAATTAAGAACTATAATAAAATTAATAAGTATCAATAATAAAGGGAAGGATATAAAATACTTATTAAGCTTATTAGAGGACTTTTAAGTGATACTAGTTATATAAGTAGTTTAATCTCTTAAGAGAGCTTCTTACCTAGTTTATAGCTAGAGATAGTATTTATATGTAGAAAAATAAGTTATTATAAATAGCTATATAATAGTAGCTTATAAAGTATTATTTTATATAATATAGAGAATTATAAGAGGTATTATAGTAGTATAAGTAAAAAAGTAAGACCTTATAAAAATATAAAAAGTTATATAAGAGAAGAAAAGTTTTATATATATTTTAAAAAAATCTTTTATTTTATTTACTTTTTAGTTAGTTAATTACTTTTATTTATAAGTATAAGTATATAAGTTAATATAGTTTATATATTTATAAAGCGAAATAAATATATTATAAATTAAGAGAGCTTATTAAGGGTCTTTTAACTATATTATAGGGAGTAAACTCTTAAACTATTCTTTCTTAAGAGGATATTTTTAATTTTATGTATAAATATTTTTAGTTTATAACTAAGCGTTTTTATATATATAAAAAGTATTTTTAGCTGTTCTTATAAACTAGGGGGGTATATAATAGTTTATTTTATAACATATCTTCTACTTTATATAGCCCTCTTAGTAAAGCTTATTAAAGGAGCAGGTTATTTAATTAGTATAAACTTTATAAGCTTATAATTTAAAAACGCTTAAGAGGGTAACTTCCCCTTAAGTAATACATACCTTTTTATGAACTTTTTAATTTCTTCTAATTGCTAGCTTTTAGTACTTCTTTAGTAAAGGAGTTATCTCTTATATAATAGCGTTTATAGATAACTTCTTTAGTTAAGAAGTTATCTCTCTTATAGTAATACTACTATAAGAGCTTTAGTAACTTATTTAGCTATAATATAATTAGCCTTATTATATATAGTATTATTACTACTAGCTTTATACTATATAGCTAGCGCTACTACTATTCTACTAGTTTATTCAGCTAAAGTATATATTTAACTTTATATAGTGATATTTAGAGGGTTTACTTATTAGTAGGAATATATAGGGTTTCTATACTATTTTCCTTAGTTAGTAGAAGGTATAAGTTAAAGTGCCTATATAGTGTTTTTAGAATTATGCCTATATATAAGGTGAATTCTGCTATAGTCCTTTTATAGGAGGGCTGCATTATAACTATAAACTTAATACTAACTTACTATAAAGTAGAAACTACTTAATATTAAGCTTACTTAATACTAAAGTATTGAGGTTACTCATATTTACTTTATTATAAATATTAAGTAATACTAAATAAATAAGGATAACTTCTTTAACTTCACTTTTAGTAATAATAAGATAGCTATATCCTATAATAAATTTTATATATTAGTTAATGAGCTAGTTAATAGAATAAACTTTATAATAGTAAACTTTATTACTATAAGCATATAAAGTAATATTAAACCTATTAAAGCTTTTATTGTCTCTAAAGTAATACCTATATTATTAATAAATTTAACTTAATTAATATTTTCTATTTAGTTTATTACTAAAAAGGAAGAATAGTTCTTAGTAATTTATGAAAGTAAATAACTTAACATTAAAACTTAAAAAGCTATATATTACATCTTATAACTATAATATTTTTAAAGACTACTTTTAGATATTATACTATAATCCTTAAGTAGTATAATATAGTCTTAATAGATTTAAAGAAATAATTATTTTTATTTAAGTATTTACTAAAATATCTTTAGTATAATTTCTAACTATATTAAGACTTAAGATACTATATATTAATATTAAGAGAGATGTTATATAAAAGAACTTAGCTTATTAGATATTACTCTAATATATAATACTAATTAAATCTAATATATAATATAGAGAGGTATTTAAAAACCTATATTTTATAATTACTATAATAATAATAATAATATCTTATATTATATACCTTTAATGGCTAATCAGTATGAAAATAATTATAAAGCTTATATATACTTAATAGGTTTATAATATATAATAGAAGAGATTCTATAAAGGAAATAAAACTAATATACTTAAGTTACTAAAGAAGAAGTGCTATATCAGATTAAACTAGGAAGATATATAGCTAGAAAATAGCTTAAATTATATTCTATATAAAGAACTATTAAGAGTAAAATATCTATTTAAGAAGTATATATATACTAATAAGAGTGATATACTAGTAATATTGTTTTTAATATATTTACTTTTCTTAATTTATGAACTACTCTTTAAAGCTATTTTAGCTATTTTATAGAAGTTTATAAAGTATCTATAAATATAAAAATTATTCCTAATAGCTTTAATCATATTTATATTAATTTTAAGGCTATATAATTACTATAAATTATTTTTATTAGTTATAGCTTTCAATAAATACTATTAAAAGATTTAAAAAGAGTTATTTTGAATATAAATAAATAAAGTATAGTTAAAGTTTTTAATATTTATAACTTTAGTTTTACAAATTAAGTTATTTAGCTTAGTTTTATTTAGTTTATATATATATTTAAAAAAAGAAAATAATATTATAATTATTATATATATAAGAAGATATGAAGAATAAGTGTAAAGTTTTATTTAAATAGTTAAGTTCTTATATCATAACTATAGGAAATTTTTTTAAACTATATAAAGAGTTATACTATTAAGTTTATACTCTTAAGTAAGAGGTTAAGCTATTCTTAAGCTCTAGCTAATAATAATTTTATAAATAACGCTCTTATGAATATATTTTACTACTTTACTATTTACTCACTTACTTTTTTCTATATCACTAAAATAAATTAAGTTAAGTATTAATAACTAGCTCTATTATATTTATTTACTTTATTAGAATTAAACATAACTTAAAATACTACTCTTAAGTTTAAAGTAATAAGCTAAAAAGTATGAAGTAAGCTATAATACCTATTTATATAACTTAATTAAACTACTAATATATATATAGATATATATATATATATCTGTATATATACTATAATATAGCTGTATTAGTAGTATTATATAATAGATTTTATATCTATTAGAACTAATTAATTAATTAATTAATTAGATTATTTATAACTTAACTAGTTTTAACTAGTTAACTAGCTAGCTAATTAAGATTAAACTAATTAAGTTACCTTACTAACTAAAACTAAGCTTATTAAGTTAAGTTAACTAAATTCACTAACTTAAGTCTAACTAGACTAGTTTAACTAACTAGTCGAATAAATACTAAGTAACTAGTTTTCTAACCCTAGCTGTATTAGCAAAAGATTTAATCGCAGCGATCTACTGTGTACGTATACTCAACCGAAGTTCAATCTATGGTTTATTCTGACAACATCTGTGGATCTTCTAGCATGAACTTGTCTTACAGAACCCGAACAAGGTTTAGTGAGGATAAGAACTGTGGAAAAGGGCCGTGAAGCGCTGAGACAGACCCTACTGGCTGAATTCGCACCACTCAATCTCCCAGCCCGATCTGACTCAAGTCGCAGCTGAGCCAAGTCCTCCTTCCTTGATGTAGCTTGCTGATGCCCACGGCCAAACCTCCTCAATGGTTACATGGGTGGCCGGAAGACATGCGTTCTGAGCCAGTGCTTGACCGGGAGGCTCAACAGCAGCGGCGCGCCAGTAGCCTTCGATGGTGCCAGGTTTGCAGACCGATCCAATTCCCGACTCGGATTGCCACGAGACCCTCTCCAGTGAAAGTCCTTGCCAAATAACCTTGAACTGCAGAGAAAGACCTGAGACCTTCCGATGGCCAATGATAGCCATGACTCGGGGACAATGGATCCATCCACCATTGAAGGCGAGGACTGCTTCGTTCCGACCGCCAGGGAAGCGATTCCAAAAGTCAAGCACCTTGGAGTGGGCCTGCCAAGAGATATCGTACTCAGACTTCCAGGCTGTGGATTTATCTGCGTATCTGACGTTCAGCTCAACGCCATCGACGACGTCTACCCTGTATCCGAGGATGGAATCGATGACATCAGCGAAGGTGTTCAGGCAATCTGTGGTAGCCTTTTTTTTGCGGTGGCATCGAAGGTCAGCAAAATGTGTAGCGATCAGGTGACATGAATGGACGAACATACCTCGGGGGGAACCGCATGGTCTGCAACTTCTTGTGCGGGCCGGGCGGCGTCATCCTCCTAGGACTGGACCCGAACTGGCTTTGGCACACGGCGAGATCGGGCCACAGGAGACTGGGATTATGGTGAGAAAGGGATATACCGGCTTGGAGGTTGAGATAGCTTACATCATCGAATGAAGCAGCGGCAGCAGGGGGCGCGTTTGGCGAGGCGCGTCTCTGAGCCTCTAGAGCGAGGCGTTCCGCTTTGTTGCGTCGTCTCGTCTCCCACCCTCGCCTCATGGCTTCGCTACGACTGATGGAAGTCATGGTTTGGATGTGATGCGACGATTTTGAGGGTGAGATAGCGTAGGAGGGGGGGAAAAGTACAGATTTTACGGATCTTGAGATGACGGAAGGTACCTAATGCTCGCTCAAGCATAGACAAACCCCCACACCCCTCCTCACCTGGGCTTGGACAGGGGACTGCCCGTGCGCCGACACAGAGTGGGTCCTTACCAGGTCAGGCAGGATGCAGGGAGTCAGTGCGCGCTAGTGGCGGGGATCCTTGCCCTGCGGCCAGCACCAGGTCTTGGGGGGGGTAAAGGGGGGAGGGCCTAATACGACGTCGCTTTTAATGCTTCGAGATTTTGGCCTGTGACATGTTCGCCAGGAGCATAGTATGCATATGGATCCTGAAGAATTTGTTACTAATTGACGAGTGTGTGACTGGGAGGTAACAAGGGATAAGTAGTACCTGCCTGCTTTCTATTTTGCCCTAGGATGTATGACTGGGGGGAAATCTATGCAAAGTCGTCGTTATCCCATCAAGTGCTACATAACGCCAGTACATGGAGTACCCATAATTTCTCCAATTCGGGCCTCATTGAATTTTTTGATTTGTCTAGAAAAAGTGTCGATCAATAGAAACAACATCTGATTAGCTGTACCCCGCACATCTAAGTACTGGCGTCATGTAGCACTTGATGGGATAGTTTCGAAAGTTCCCAGGGACCAGCTGCTTGTATGATTGTTTTAATCTTCGTTCCTCTTTCTGTTGTTGCCTTCCCAGTATGCTGGGGGTAAACACGGCTGGAGGATGATTGGTTTTTCCTGTATTCACCCTGCGGCCGCTCTCACCTCCCAAGCGACCCAGAAGGCTGATGCCGAGTGTGGGCGGTGGACAAACAACCCTTCACTTGCAGACATCTTGCTTCTTTTCGACCAATCATCCAATCAGCCAACCAACAAATCGGCTGAACCTCATTTAAGTCGCAGCATTATTTCCCGATGAAACTGTCACCCACATCGCCACGGAGGAAACAGGGCCGCCGTCGTCCTCGGGATGAAAATTCAGCCAGAGAGCTCCATAATAAGACCATTTTGGAAGCCATGAAGACCCAACATGATGCTCTCTCACAAGAGGTCGGCAAACATGGTGCTAGGATCAATACTCGCTGGCGCTCATTCACCGGCAAAGAACGGGCTCAATGCTTATCGACAATCAATGGCACCAAAAGCTCCCCAAACCGAAAAGAGACTTCTTGTGAAGACGTCTTCTTCGACATACCAGGCGTCAGCCTCCGGCTGCAAGACGTCACTTCAGACCCGGAAGTGCTTCTGAGATGGCTCGAGTGTCACGTAGCAGGGACTGCTGGGGGACAAGTCAGGTAAGTTCATACCGCAGGCAATCGAATTCCATGCCCGACTTCCAACGAAGTTCGCAAGAAGATGATCCTCGACAACCCCGATGAAGTCCATGGCACTGACGAAGAACTTCTTGATGGCAGCCGCAGCGTCACTCTGCCAGAATCCGAACTTGACCCAGGAGAAAACATCCACTCACCATACGCCGCCCAATTCATCTCCCTCCAAGATCAACTGCACGTGCTCAAATTTCTGAATGAAATACTCACTCGAGTGCTCAAGTTCTGCCCCCGAACCAGAAAGAGAGAGGAGCGACAAGCCAAAGAAGAACTTCCATCCGAAATCTCCCGACTACAGGTCAGAGACGCATCAGCACCACACAAGCTAGAATATAAGGAAATGCTCAGCGCTCCAGTCCCGCCGAAGACAGTCAACTTGGTCACCGCTGAGGCATTCTGGACCATCATGGGAAAAGACAGAGCGAGGACAAGAGTAAGCTAGAACGCCTTTGAGAGAGCAATGGGATATTTAGGGTTTTCAGTAGCACGGTGCTCCGGTTCAGCAGTGACTTTCACTCCGGAAGCTGGAGCGATGGAGAAAAGATCAATTACACTGCACCGTCCTCACAACGGACAGATCGAGGGATATCGCAGCCTGATACTATCAAGACGACTGGGGAAGGTCTACGGATGGGAAGAGTCAACGTTTGTGGTTGCTTGACGAATTGTATTTGGAGATGTCGCTCGTCCTTTTAGAAGCGTCACGAGGCCAAACGTACATTGGAGTATTACCTGGAAACATTGCATCTGGATATTCCCAAGGGAACCGTTGACTTCAAATGTGGGTGGGTCACCACAGACGGTGTAAATGAGGAATTGGTTTTAGGAGAAGAAATACCTAGTGCATCAAAGTATCGCAAGAGACAGGTAATCACAGAAAGGGAAGGCAGCATATGAACAAAGTAGATGATTGGATGAAGGGCTGGAGCCTTGAGCAAATGTGTCACAGTATGGTAGAGGAATGAAGTAGGCGGGCAGCAACAAAAAACCTTCAAGGCGGGCCCTTCCTGGACGACATCGGGAAGATGCAGGTAGATCACAGAATCAGGTGTGCGATTGAGCCAGCGCCTGCCTTCCTTCTTAGTATGCAACAAACAGACCATTCTTGGCCCGCTTTCACTTCCGTCCCCGTGAAAAATTTCCCATTACCGCCTTTCGACTTCCATCCATCCACCACTCTCTGCTCTTGCCCTCTTTTCTACCACGAAAGAATTTTCCTTCCTCCTCTTTCCATCTTCCGTCCACGAATTCTTCGAGATTTTAATTGCAACACAAGCCCACTCCCCGACTTTCCACCTCCAGTCAATCTTAGCCACCACGCCCACTCACAGCCCATCTCAGATCTTAGAGAAACCCGCTTGGTATGTATCATTGATCAAGCTAGGTCTTGTGTATAAACTGACAGATTGGACGGTAGATAACGTACATCAACAATCACGATGCCGCGCAAGACCTCTGCTGAGATCATCATCGATGCGATCGTCGAGAATGGCGACGCCCCCATGGACCGTGCTGCCCTCCAGGACTTCTTCATGGACCGAACCAACTCTTTTGTCGACTTTCGCAAGCTTTGGGAGTTCTACGAGGCCTTCATTGGAGGTTACCATATCACCGCTAGATCACTCAACACCATGCGCTCCAAGGGGGGCAAGGCGTTCGCTGCAAAGATAAAGGCTCGTCTCGACTCTGAGCCTGGTGTTGTCCCTGACCACCTCATCGAGTTCTTCAGTAAACACCAGTACATTTGGGACTCTTCCCTAGGAGATGGAGACACCCAAGCTGAGCCTGGCCGTCTTCCCAAGGAGCTTCTTGACCAGCTCAAGAGGATCTGCCCTGACCGCGAAAGCTTCCAGGGCCTCTTGATGAAGCAGATGACGGCTCAGTCCGTGCCGTCTGGTATGGACACCGAAGTGGCAGCCAAGCTCATGAGAGCTCGTGCCAAGGAAGTTGCAGAGGAAGCCTTTGGAAAGGACGAGTCGGTCACTGATGGGCTCATCGCCGCAGTCAAGAAGGGATTCTGTCCTGGTTTTGAGGTGACCAAGGCTTTCCGCGGCTACGGCTTCGAGGTCATTTGTCACCGAGACGACGTCGCCAAGCTCTTCGACATCTAAGTTCACCTCATCACTACCTGTGGTGTCGGCCGAGACACGCTCAACGAGTGGATGATCTCGGGCAAGCAGACGCTTGGTCAAAACATCAAGGCCGAGCTGGAGAAGAAGCAAGACACCATTCCGGCCGATCTCATCTCCTGGTTGGATGCGAACCAGTATATCTGGGCCCGCGGCAGCATTGCCTACTCCGGCCAAACCAATGCGTTTATTCGCCACCCTGGCGTCAAGGTTGATTTTCAGCGCTTTGTCAAGCCGGTCAAGCCCGAGGAACATGCCAAGATCAACCAAGAGATGCAGGAGCTGGTAGACTCTTTCCACAACCTGAAGCCTGGTGAACCGGAATTCGACCTGCAGGAGGAAATTGAACGCAGGGCTAAGAAGTATGGATGCTACCAGGTGGCTATGACTTATCCCAAGAAGGGCGAGATCAGTGATGAGAAGGACAAAATCGACACTGAGGGCAAATAGATGCATGCGGTTTCCCCCAAGGGAACATCTTCTGTCTGCCACAATAATGCGAGAAGGCTGGATCACAAGCTTGATAAGATGTCACAAGGGATATTTGGAGGTAAACTTGTGGGTTCTAGCGACCGGTAGAAAGGGACGGACGATCTTGCCGGGGGAAAGGGTCGGGTACTCTAGATAGGTAGGTAGATTTGGGACTCCCTGCACGCAATGACATGCGGTTTCTCAATCGGTTCGAAAGTGAACCCCGCTCTTCCTCGTTGATGTTTGCTTCCTGAGTAAACCGAGCCAAGTAACAAGATGAGTGAGACTGAGTGATTGTCGGCCCAGAAGCACCCGTCGCACCCCTGGTACACTTCCCTGCGACTAGGTACATGGAGTCACCAATGGAAGAAACCAACAGGGCAATATCACCGAAACAGCCGCACGAACAACCATGACGTAGGTGAAATAAGAACGACTGGGCATGATCTCAGTCCTGTCCGTTACTTCCTGGGATTTTGATGACTGGTAAGAAGGTGTTTATAGGGCATATTAGTGATGGTGCGGCGGCTTCAAGCAGCATGTTGCTTCAGGGACCGTGAAGCCCATTTGGACTGCCTGTGCCGCACCAAGCGTTCCAACGAGCTCTACAACACGGCAAGTGGTGACTACGTGCCGCTTAGCAGATCAGTCGGCTGAACTGGGTCGGCTGAAAAGAACTACTGCCAGGTCTCTCTGGTTACCAACGCTGCAAACAAAGTTGATCGCAGGGAATAATATGACCAAGATTTGCCGCTTTCCAACCTGGGTTACGCTATTTAGTTGAAAGCTGGAAAACGCCAAAGGTCCCACAATCAGCCGTCATTGGGCAAAGCAAGCAAACATCTCAAGCCAATAGACGCCAGACTCAGCGAAGACGGCCCAACCAAAACTGTGTATCGGTTACTTCGTGCTTCAACCTGAACCCGCTCTGGAAGCAAACTTGACAAATGTGATCTCCACTTTCTCCACTATGTAGTCCCATGTCCGGGTTTCGCCTTGCGTGTAATTATTCCTAGTTAGCCAACGTTCGTGTATTGACCTCTTTTGGCCGGGCCATCAGACGATTAACCAGGCACTTGCTTCACAGATATCCTTGGGCGGTGAACATACTATAAGTAATGAATCATCGTCAACGTTGACAGAATTCTTGATGCCTCCAATCCAATTAGTTTTCAGCATTGCTGTCTCTCGTATCTTGCGAACCATCTTTTGGGAAGCCGGCTTCATTGCTGCTGCGGAATACCTTCAGCCTGTTGCAACTTTTTTGTTTTCAACGATTATTATGTCCTCTTCCGAAGAGCCGCAGAGGACCGGCTTTGACACCGCCGAAGAACTCCACCCCACTGAGTTTCTGTCCGATAGAGCGGAGGTGAAATTAATGAACTCTATGTGTGCATCCTGGACTGACGTTCGCTTCAGAAACCATCGGTGAAAGCCCACGTTGGGATCAAGGAGCTTCGACAGGCCATACCAGCTCATTGCTTCAAGCCTAACCATTTCTGGTCATTTTTCTACCTCTTCCGCGATCTTTCCTACGCAACACTGCTCTTATATCTCTATGCAAAGATTTCGGAATTCGGCTGGGAAGCACCGTACTTGTGCATCAAGTATTTTGTGCTTCTGACTCACAGCTTTGTCCAGGGCCTAGTTTGGACCGGCCTATGGATAATTGCCCACGAGTGCGGCCACAGCGCTTTTTCCACGATAAGCGCCGTGAACGACATCATTGGCTTCATTCTTCACTCATTTCTCCTTGCCCCGTACTTCTCCTGGAAGTCGACCCATCGCCGTCACCATATCTACGCTGGAAATATGGAGAAAGATCACAACTACGTGCCGCCTCTTCGAAACGAGTACGCAGCCAAGCTCAGCTTGGAGCCTGGAAAGCTAGACGAACTTGGCGAAGATGTACCAGCCTGGCTTTTCTTGAGAATTGTACTGCAACAAACTGTCGGCTGGGTCTGGTATGTCCTGACCAACATCGCGTGCGCGCCGTCTGCCGTAATTAAACCAGGAATGCCATTCTGGCGACATAGTCACCTGGATCCTTGGGGATCTTTGTTTAGGAGTTCCGAAGTCACGGCCATCATTCTTTCCGATATTGGATGCTTCAGCACGCTCGTCGGCCTTTGGTTGTTGTACAAGTACACCGGAACATTTTCAGATGTCTTCTGGCTGTGGATTGCGCCATGGATGTGGGTTAATCACTGGATTGGTAAGTAAAGCCGAGCAAACAAACGACCTTCACTAGCTCATCTGCAATATTTGATAGTCATGATCACTTATCTCCACCACACCCATCCTGATATCCCAAAATACACCTCTGAAGAGTGGACATTCGTCTTGGGCGCAACCGCCACCATGGATCGGTACTTTTCATGGCCATGGGGTTTTATAGGGGTGCACTTCTTCCACAATATCTCCACGGACCATGTCGTTCACCATCTCTTCTCCAAGATCCCCCACTACTACTCCCGGGAAGCGACCAATGCCATCGTCGCTGTCCTTGGGCAGCAGTATAACAGAGGTAACTTCAGTATCAGTGAACTGATTCTTTCATTCACAAGGTGTCAGTGGGTCGAAAGTGACGAGGTGAAGGACAAAGAATATTTTACTAATAGATCTGCGGGAGACAAGAAGGCTGGCTCGCCAGGCGAGATGCCTCGGGGTCTGTGGTACAGGGGAGGGCCGAGCCCAGCCCCTGAGTATAAGATGAGGATGGGTACCAAGTGCGCGCTGCCTAGCAGAGGGATTTAAAGCAAATCACTTCTTTGAACGTCAAAAGATTGTTGTCTGGTGTTTTGGACATTGAGACGCAGCTTTGTAGAGGTTACCTTTTGGGGGGGGGGGGGGGGGGCTTGTTGACAGGATCCTCGGCAATGGGCCTCTTCCGCGGAATTTCAATCATTCCACAGAGACTGAAGAGGTGAGATTTAGACCCAGGGAAAATAGTGGGCTCAGTTCACATATGTAGAAGTAGAAGGAAACAAATCATACCGGCAGCTTGATAGGAAACTTGGTTTCAATGTTGTGGTGTAGTAAGCATTCACGGGTGATAAATGCGACTGTCTTCAACAACCAATTAATCAGAAGCATATAGTTCGATTTCCTTACCAACTCAGTGAAAATGCGGCAGCAAGATGCGAAAGTCAGGCTGTTCATAGAGAACCCCGAATGTGTGCGGCCGTCCGGGCCGGGTCCCGAAGTGGAGAGTTCCGGCTGAAAGATTGTCTGCCTTGGAGTATGCTATTCCGATGGACTCGTGTCTTCGGGTCTCCAGGTTCCAGCTGTGTTCAGACGTTCGTTGCGGAATTGAGTTCTATGTAGAGTTCGGCGCTAGTTGCCCAGCGGATGTCCGCTTGAGTTCATCCCATTTACTGAACAATAAGGCCCTGAATGGTAGGGTTCAGGGTTCGCTGTCGTATCTAAACTCTGAAGGATAATTTCCAACTCCGAAGTTCGCCTTCGTGAAGACCCGTCGTTAGGAAATACCTCGACGAAATAACGATGCCAGCTGGGCGAAACCGGAGATGGGGCGTCGCCGGCGAAGGTCGATGGGAGCTCACCTGAGTCGTTTTCTGCCGATCCATGATGTCTCAAAGTAGCTGTTACCCATTGCAATACCACAAAGCCGTGAAGATGTCAAAGAAACGGGCGTCTTTTGGCGCGGAGGCAATCACTCTCTAATAAGGATTTGAATGCGTTGCAAGCTCAGAGGCAAGCATCGTATGTAACTAAATCCAACGAAAGGGGACTTTGAATCTATCTAATCTAATATCAAGAAATCGAAAAGGTGAGTGGCTATATAGTTAGGGCGGTCAGTCGAACATAGCAGTCGTGGGGCTCTCTAGTAAGCTTGTCGTACGCGCCCGTCGTGTTTAGTTCATCCGGCAACTCTTCAAGCTGAAAACCCCACAAAATCAACACTACCAGCATCCTCATCTGTACATATGCCAGCTTGCGCCCATAGCAGCCCCTTGGTCCCATGCTAAAAACCATGTTCCTCCCTCGTGTCGCATCGAAAACATCTCTACCGCCGTCCCCGGACTTCGCTAGCCAACGTTCAGGCGCATAATCCGCTGTCCTGAACCCAAAATCCTCGCCACCGTTTCCAGACCCTTTCGCTGCAGCCTGAACCGCCGGAGTCCGCAGCCTATCGTCAATAAAGAAGCCAGGTTGCGTATAGCTTGCCTGATTCCAGACCTGAAACACCACAGTTCCCTTTGGAATGCGGTTACCAAGAATCTGCGTGTCTTGAGTCGAACTTCGGACGCACATTGGCGCTGTCAGTGATGTGCGGAAAAGTTCCTCGATGCTGGCCTCCAAGTATGGGCAGCGTATCTGCATGATCTCTTGGGCTGTTGGAACACGCCTCTCTGATACTGCCTCGGGAAGAGCAGCACGTAGACTGGCCCGCAATTTGTTCTGTTGCTGCTGATGGCGCGCTAGCGTTTTGACGGCCCATTGATTTGAGTTCGATGTTGATTCGTGACCTCCAAGGGTGAATCCATACAACTGTTTTGAGAATCTCAGCTCATTCGACCTTTGATCGATTATGGACGGCAATAGACTTACTTCGTCGTAAAAAAACCGTGTGTGGTACTGTGGCTGTCGGCGCTCCTTCGACGCTTGGCTGGTTTCCCTGCGAACCATCTCATCTACTGCACACCGCACCACATTCTCCCCGGCCCGAACTCGGGCAACAGAAAGATCTGTCTGGCGTCTCAACAGGTCTTCCTTCAGTGAGATTGCGGTTCTCATGTATGCACGTTGTCGAAGCACCCAGTGGGCAAGTACAGGGAATAGCGACTTCATGGAAGTCTCGAGGCTGTCTGAAAGTTTGAGTAACGCTTCAACAACGGGACTCGGCGGGGTGTCAGGAAAGTTAACTGCAGAATCATTGGTATCCTTCATGGTTTCGTGTGGTAATGAGGACATGGACGCGAGGTGGTCAACTTGTGGCTGAGTGGCGCTGAGCCCTTCCAAACCAGGACCGAAAGTGAACCCAAGAACGGCATCTAGGGCACAGTGGCTGATATCCTTCAAAGCCCAAAAAGCGCGACCTTTGGCTAGCCGGGACTTTTCTTGCCACAAAGAAGTCATGCGCAAGGTGCTCTCGTGGAGGAGGGGGGCAGCGACTTTGCTGAGAAAACTCGGGGTCAGTATGTCCCCTATAAGTCGGCGACGACTCTTCCATTCATCATTTGTCTTCCATCTACTATGGTGTTCTGGAATGACGCCGGATAGAACGTCAGCAGTAAACTCTGATCTGTCGAAATCTTTGCCTCGCCGAATCAATATATCCTGTGTCTCATGGAAGTCTGAAATGACGACCCATGGCTTGCTGAATGGTCGCCCGAAGACTTGAATGATTGGGGATTGGTGTTTGATGTTCTGAGCCCCAAGCCAGTCATACATTTCGCCAGTCTTTTTGATATGGCTGATCATTTCCGGCATATCACCCCAGAGTGATGTCGCTGCCGTTTTGTTGTAAGGAATACCAGGAAGCGGACGAGGGAGCAGGGTTCGGTAGAGGAAACACAGCGTGAGAACACCGGCCACGGCGAACGCCAGAGCGGTCTTGCTGAGAACAATCGCGGGAATAGCTTCGAGCCTCTCCATAATGACCAATGATATGTTGTTCGTCTAAAATGACGAGGGACGAGGAGTAGCACACATGGAAATGGAGGCCTGGGTGCTAACCACATATATAGTTCAAGAATACGGACATCCACGGAATACAAACTTACGGGGAACTTCGAGAATGGTAGCCCCCAGTCTGCATTGTTGACACGTTAACTGCGAAATGAAAGCAAGGCCGTTGTATTTCATATTTCTTTGTCATCCGCTCTGCTTACCTACCTGTTCTAGCCAAGTGATAAGCTCCTGGCCAGTCTCAGTGCACTCTCTGCATCTTCTGCCCTGTCCGAGGGCCCTCTCCCCCCTCCCCTCCATTCCCCCCCGGATCGGTACAGATTCCAAAACTCGGCTGATCTTACTCCTCAACGGTAAGTGTTTCTCGGGCTCGCTCGCTTCAGCTCGTTCTCAACGGTCACCAAATATGGAATTCGGCCTTCACTAATTGATCCGATGGCTTTCTGTTCATCATCCGGCCGGTTTCCCCTTCATCGTCCGGTATGATGACCCGAGGCATTGTTTTCTGTGCAGTACAAGCAGAGAAAAATAGACTCTCGTGAGAGTTCTGAAACTGTTCCTGTCGCTTTGACAGTCGCACAGTCCCGGTGGGCTGTGGGGTTTGGCAGAATGAAAGGCAAAAACTAACCAAGTTTAAGTTACGTCTGACCTTTGTTGTGACACTCTATCACTGGTTTCGCGGGTTCGGGAGTGGGCTAGAGCTTCAGTGGCATGGGAAAATACCTATACAAATATGCGTCTCGACGTGAACACTGACTAAGCGGTCCACGGCGTTTGTAATACTACAATGATCACAACATAAAGATCCGAGAAGTCAGAGTCTTCAGTCACAGCCAGCGAACGTTATCGAGGTTCTAATTTTTCACATTGTGCATGATGATAAACTTCCACCCTACACGCGACGACATCGGATGGTTTAACTTCGCCCATACAGATATGCAGTTCGTGAATCAACTAAAGAGTGCTTTTAAGCTTAAATAGACTTATCAGTCTAGCAAATGTCGCTGCTTCCACGCTGCGGGCCCAACGAGTTTGCCTCTGTCATCCCGCTCATTGCCCGCCGAGAACGTCATTGTGTTATAGTACAAAGTCACGTACGGCCCATCTTTCGTGTATGACAAGCCAACGTAAGAGTGCCTTCCAATTGTGTTGGAAAAGTCCTGCTTAGGGCTGCAAAGAATATTAGCTTGAAGCTCAAAACAATCCGAGTAGGACAAAAGTACTTACAAAGCCTTTTGCACTGCGTCGACGTATGTGTCGGCCAACGTTTTCAGCCCAATTGCTCGGAAAAAACTGCCTAGTGACTGCGCGATTCGAAGATCAGTTCCGCCGTAGTGTCGAACGGGAATGTACACTTTTGGTACTGGTGCAGTTGAGTTGTGCTTCAATTCCATGTTGAAGATGATGCCTGCCGTGCGATGCATGCTGCGAGGTAGGTCTTCTCCGGGGGCAGATAAACCGAGTACATGGAGATAGAATAGCCGGACCAAATCCACACCGGCATCAATTTCGGAACCCTTGAGAGTATGTCCAAGGGTGTACACTTCCTCCACCCGGGCGAGACAAGTCTCTTTGGTGCGCAGGTACACCTTGAATCGCGCATCAATCGGGCGCAGCGCATCAAATGCAATTAGTTCCAAGCGCAGAATATTTTGGTTGTTGCGTTCATGCTTGTAGTGGTAGACAAAGTTGCGAATGTAGTCGAAAGCAGGCATGAGATTGAGCGGCAGCTGACCAATGACATCGGTGATGATTTCGCCGGCGTGATTCTCCTGAAGCAGGGAAATTGGGATGGGATAGAAGTAAACCTTGGGCACAGGGTGTTCGCCTTCAAGGTCAAACGAGATGGTATTTGTTGTCATATGCTCATTGGGAGCCATTTTGGAGACAATCATATGAGCATGTTTCGCGTCGACATGCAGGTGCTTCTTGAAGAACTCCCAAAGTTCTCCATCGACAGGGCTATTCTCGGCAGCATGACGCAGAACGCGCGACATGACTACCTCGGGCTCATCTTGATTGAAAGGGTCCTTTGCCGTACCGGCCAAGGGCCCGATCGGCTCAGAGCCAACTCGGATCTTGGACCTCTTCAGCCCAACGTTCCAGCTGAGCTCTGCGGGAGAGAAGTCGTCAGAACAGAAGCTGTCGAAATGAGGCAGACGAGCGCCGGACTTCGTGATGTTTGGACGAGGTCCCAGTGACGGGATGACAAGTTGTTGGACGAACTCAGCATACTGTTCCTGAGCCTCAGCAGAGTATCCGGCACTCTGCATGAGAGACAGAAGAGGATGGGAGAGCTCTTCCCACCAGAATCGCGTGTCCTCCTGCCTGGGAGAGAAGTCTTTTGTTGACATAACCATTTTGGAGAGTGGCCGGGGTCGGTATGAAACTTGTGAAATTAGGCTATCGCACAAAACGAACAGAGTAATGGACTCGGGATAAAAGACAGAAATGCATGATACAGCACCCACCCGATAGCAGACCGTTGGCCTTATATACTGGAGCACTCAGGACAGGGCACTCTGGACAAGAACTTGAAACATGTTCAGCCCGCCAACATGGACGAAGCAGGCGAGGTTCAACGAGACATCACGGAGCCCCGGTTGCGTATCACTCATCAAGGCTCATTTTTGCCGTACCAGAAGGCAGTCGGCATCGTGTCACACCAACCCTCAGGATGTCTTGCATATAATGGTTCTGAGACATCCGAGACAGCGGAGGCGGCCGTGGCGATCTAGGCTTTCCCAGCATCTGCCCCTTTGGGTCCTAGTTTGTAAAGCCAGATTGTCTAGTTGGAGATATTTGAATCGTTGTAAGTAACAATGGCCGTATGTTTAGCTTTTCAGCCCGACTCGTGAGCCTCAAGCCCGGAGCCGGGAGCTTGAGCCGAAAGTCTCGGTTTCGTTGGAGCTGTCCGGTCGGAAGTAGCGGATACGATCACGAAGGTTTACAACGGAACCCGGGGAGCAACCGAAGCAACAAAGAGAAGCACGTTTCCACAGTCAAGTCTGCCAACCGTCATCTGAAAATAGCCACATTTCGATATCTGAAGGCTGTTACATCCCAATTTTGCTCCGCCATTTCTCCGCACTCGCGATCCTTGTCTTATTTCAGAAGTTAAGACCGAATCTCTGGCAAAGCTACAGTTCAGCCGTTCAACCGTGCCACGAGCCGCATGTACCGGTGATTATGTATATGTAGCCCATGTGAAAGAGTCCAGAATATCCGCGGATTTTAGCACAATTCGCCTCCGAAATTCGTCGATTTTCGATTTTCAACTTAAACTTGTCTGAGGCATTGTGCGCTTCTGCCATAGGCAAACGACTCCTCCGTCATGAACTCCACCGCTCTCCCCATTCAATCCCCCCCTCAATTAGTGAGTTTGCTGAGAAACAGCTCAGCACTCGCAACCGTGTTGATTCTAGCCATTTTAAGCCCGATATTGGTCAGATGGATGGCTTCAGATCGCGGAATCCCAAAGATCACAAGCTCAAAGTCTTGGTTTGCAAGCAGGCAGGACTTCGCTGCGCATGGCGTCGAGATCATCGAGAAAGGTTTCAAACAGGCAAAGAGCGGCGTTTTTCGAGTCACAGCTTTGGATGGTATTCAATTAACCCATGACTGAATGTCAATTGTCCTAGACTCACCAGCTGCAGGATCAGATTTGGTGCTTTTGGCACCCGAACATTGGTTGGCGATATGCAAGAAGAAGGATGAAGAAGTTGCACCCGCTCGCAAAGAGGTATGACATGATCAGTATCATCATACAGGATGGGTGATAGCTAACGAATTAAGTTCTTTCTCTGCGACTTGCATGGTGCCCCTTTCGAAGAGCCATATCTGTATCGTTATCTAGCTTCCCGCATGCCGGGTTTTGGTAGGTGGAGGCGTCCAGGTATGAGACAAGATGATGAGCTGACAGTATGCTTTGAATCGAAAGATAAACACCTGGATGTCATCTCCGAGGCTTTAGATGAGGGAATCGCGAGCGTTCTCAGCGAGGGTTTCGACTACTCACACGGTGGTAGGTGTGGCGGCTAGCCCGTGGTGCCTTGTGCAGCATGACAGTGAAGGTGTTTTGCTAATAATGCCACTAATATAGACAGCAGGCCTGTTATCATGCAGCCGCAAATTTTACACGTCTATTCTCATGTAATATGGCGGGTCATTCTTGGCAACAACTTCAGTCCCGAGGTGGTGGATATATTTGAAAGCTATTCAGCAACACTCATTCCCGTGATGAAAGCTCTCAAGGCTCAGCGACCCATCATAGCTCGAATTACCGCGGCGTTTTCAAGTGACGTTCGTAAGGTCAATGCTCAGCTGGAGAGGGTGACAGCTTTTTTCACCCCTCTCTTCGAGCAGTGTGCCCAAGCCTTGGAGCAAGGCTTGGACATGAGTTCAGTCAACAACGATTGGCTAGAAGAGTTGGTTCGCATGGCACCCGAAGAAAAAAGGCGTGACTACAAGTACCTCACCAACGTCTTAATTGGCTTTGCTTTCACCTTCGTGTTTTCTCCGGGACCGTCGACGACGCAGATTGTGTATGAGTTTGCGTTCCGTCCTGACTACACTAAACTTGTGCTCGAGGAGGCAAACCAAGTTTTGGGAGAACAGGTGGATATCTGGCACTTTACACGGGATAGTCTCCGGAGGCTGTCGTTGCTGGACAGCTTTTGCAAAGAGACACACAAACACCACCCGACGGCTGCATGTAAGGCACAGCATGGGGTGGATTTGCGCAGGGACGTGCTGACTGATGTGGATAGCCAACCTGATGAAAAAGATTCACAAGACGCAAACGCTTCCGAATGGAGTCGTTCTTCCTGCGGGGACAATTTTCGAAGTTGTAATGACGGCAGCACATTTGTCCAACCCAGGTTTTGACAGCCCGGCCAAATGGAACGGGCGGCGATACCACGAGCTGCGGCAACAGATGTCTAATAGTATTGGCGCCAATAAGTATGACTGGGGCACAGCAACCAGAGACGATGTCAACTTTGGTTATGCCTCCCACATGTGTCCTGGCCGATGGGCTGGATGCTCCATTGCCAAAATGTTTCTCATCAAACTCCTGGCTAAATACGAAATTCGGCCAGAAGACGGAGCGAGTGAAAGATATCAAGATTTTCACTCAGGTCAATATGTATGTGAATCATTTTCTACAATGTGTCATGATGTATTACTCAACTGCAATGCTCAAAGACATCCCACTGACTCTCAACGCTGCAGATTCTACCAAACCCAACGAAACATATCCTAGTGCGACCCAGGAAGTGAAAGTTCTGCAGTTGGCTCAGGACTTATATGGAGGCTTTCCAAAGGGGCAGCATGCGGTTGGAGTATGTATCAGAATACTAGGGCGAGACTGCAGAACTTTCTTGTTTGCCTTAGTTACTTCATTCAAAGCCTGAATCACAACAGTTTTCTGCATTACAAGGACTGGGAAACAACAGCCAACGAGAAATTACCTAGTTTCTAGCTAATTCACATGAATGGTTTTCATCAATACGGGTCTGGCAAGTGCTACCTGCTTTAATGGCTTCTGATCGTGCGCCTTCTCTTTGGGAAGCTGGCAAAGGCAAGGAAGGTGAGGAGAGGTACCCAGGATGCATTGCTCCTTCCTTTTTTTGTTGCCCGTCCCAGGTCCGTCATCTCCCATTCAGATTTCAGAAGTACAATATCCACCTTTGCAGGTGGACAACTCGCCCTTTCCCTCCTCCCTTCCATCGAGATTGTCCAAATTCCCAAGAATTCCCAACGTGGCCACCCAACCCCCAAGCTTTTATGGCCAATAGCCTGTATGCCCGTCTACCCGATCCGTTACGCTCTCTTGCCAGCTTGATCGAAACACCGAGCACCGACATGGAGTCGCTGCAGGCGTCGCTGTGCGATCGCGCCAGCAAGGATCCTCAATCTTCAACCAACCACTTCATCAAACTCCCCAATGAGCTTGTCCTCGAAATCATCAACCTCTGCCAGACGCGCAAAGCTCTCTCACGTGTCAATAAACAGCTTCGCTCGTTGACGATTCCCTACATCTTCCGGCGGATGAGAAAGTGGATCAACGAGGACAAGCTTTTTGACAGCCTTCAAGTCATCGAGAAGAACCCTACCATCCTGTCTGCCGTCCAGTGCGTCGCTGCCCTCACCTTCTACCCTAATACATCGATTCTGATATTTGCAGACATTTCTCTCTTTCATCCGACGGCCCCAACAGACCTGCATCCCGCTGGGACTTTCTTGACTCCGCCAGTGGTCCCTGTCCTGCAGCAACCCCTGCTCTGTTGGCAACCGTTCTGCAAAAGATGATTAATCTCGAGGAGCTCTCAGACTCCGCTACGGCAACAAGACTCTATCAGGCCCTCTTCGCAAGGAACTTCTCGATAAGAACATCGTCTTAGCATCCATCCGAATCTTGACCTTTGGCAACACATCTACCATGAACTTCGTCCCCAGCACTTTCATCAACTTACGTGTGCTCAGTGTCACCGTCAAGACATCTCCCAAGAAGACGCCTGGACTGCAAGCCGCCTCGACGAAATTGCAGCTAGAGGTCCTCGAGCTCAAGCAGGACAATTGGACGACTGAAGACGTTGAGGAAATCTTCGAACTCTTCCCTCAAGTCTCGAAGCTTCTCGTTGACGGCGAGCTGAAGAACACCAGAGTCTCAGTGAATCCTGAAGTTCCGCCGAAATAGTCGAAACTAACAGAATCAGGCGCTCATCCCCATATTCAAGCAATTCAACAATCTGCGATATCTTGCTCTGACCACTGTTCCCAAGGTCTATCCCCGTCCAGGTCTTTTCGACGACGAGCTCCTCGATGAGATTGATGATCTTCGCGAGACACATCCCCTCAAGGAGGATCTGATAATCAATGCTGTGGAGCTTTTCCAGCAATGCCAGCAACTAGAGACAGTATGCTTGAAGGATGTTTTCGACGGACACGTCTTCCTGCCCACCAGAAATGGTAAAGAGATTACTGTCGATGACATCGTCTTCACCGATGAGGATGGGTTTACATTCGGTTGGCCGGTTCTTTCGACTATGTAAGAAGGATTCAAAAAGTGGTGGACGGGCTTTATTTACTTTGCTTTGACGGACAAGATCAGTGTTAGAATGACTGTAATTGGCGGTGGAAGAAAACGGCAATGAATGGGACGATAAATGAAACTTAGTTATCTGTGCCTCTCCGCCCCCTTTGCTATCTTGCTTCGCGCGCAAACATGACATCAACGCAGTCCAACGCCTCATGCTCGGTGCACTCAAAGCCACATGTTGAAGTTGCTGGTTATTTAATCACTCGACTAATTTCCGCAGACGCGGATGGCGCGCAGGAAAGCGCGGCGGGAGAAACGCGTGCGGGGCAAGGTTGCATCGGATATGGATCGGCATTCGCGGAGCTCATCCCTCCTCGCAATGATTAATCCCGCCCGCCCAATGGTCGACGAAAGTTGCATCACTCTGCAGAGTCGGCCGAGCACGAGCAGAGACCAAACACGAAGCAAAGAGACATTGTGCCATCTGCCCTATTTGCGCAATGGACGATGGGCAAGACACACCCACCAAGCCCACCTCCGGCACCCGGGCCGAGGACGAGACCGGTCTCACGCCTGCGCGCTCGACTGAAACGGCACCTGGACCTGAACCTGAACCTGAACCTGAACCTGGACCTGGACCTGGACCTGGACCATCCACCCCGCTGCCCCCGCTGCCCGCGCTGCCCGCAACCCCGACCATCCCGACAACTGAAGAGCAGACGCCGGGAACTCTGCGCCGCCTTTTCCAGACTCCGCCACGGCGGCCTCGCCGGTCCAGAGCCGCTGCCGGGCTCGAGGCCCAGGAGCCGAGCCCTCTTCGTCCCCTTGAGACGCCACCTCGCCGACCGCCAAAGAGGGCTCGTTTTACGACTGGATTTGGCAGCCCATCAAGCCCGACTGGCTCTGGTGGCCCCTCTAGCCCAGTTGTTTCTGACGCCGAGGCTAGTTCGGCTTCGAACAATGCGTCTGTTCAGCGGGAAGGGGTTGCGCCCAAGACACGACTAGATGCAGCAGCGGAAGGAGAAGATGGTACGGATACGGAGCAGAGAGGCGATGCATTTGTGGTGACGGAAGCTGGGCCGAGTGGGGATGCAGAGCGAAAGGGTAGCGGCGGTGGTGGTACACTTGGTGGTGGTGTAGAGGAAGACGATGCGCTTTAGGCCGGGCGTCTTCAGGGGACCGACCCACGCACCATGCAATAAGTAGGTATGTTCCTTAGGCACGTAGGTAGGTAGGTAGGTACCTAATTGCCTGCCTACCTCACTAGGTACCTACCTATGGAAGAGAATCCCCGACACCGACGTACTCGACCCCCAACCCGCCGCCGACAACCTTCATTGCCCAGCCGTACATGATCCTCCAGGAGAGCCGGCGCCTCATCAAGCGGCGGGTTCTCCGAGCCTCGATAGTGACTAGCCCAGGCCAACGCCGGCGGAGACGCACCACCAGCTGTAACATCTTCTTTGAGCGCGGCTTAGAAGTACACGCCGCCCAAATTGCCCTTGATGTCCGGAGTCGCTGGTATCGCCGAGGCAGACGCGGATCCCAGGCATGTTGCGTTCTATGTAGGTGCACGTGGGTCAGTCCGGTTTACTGGCAGACGCTGCGATGCAGAGACAATGACGGGATGGTAAGGTAAGGAAGGTAGTGTACACACTGTAAATGCCCACCACACAACCCGCGACGCGCAGTGTCCAAGTGCGATTTCCCTGCCATCATAGCCGGTGCAGTTCTGCGGAATGCTCGGATTGTGATTAAAGCAGCGCAAACCGACGCGAATACAGCGACGCGAAGAATAAATGCCCTCCACGACCAGCCATCTTCACCTCCAGCCGGCCTGTCTGTCTGTCACCTCAATCAGTCAAGGCGGCATACCGAGATTGCCGCAGTCACCGACACCACGCCCGGGCCTTGCATGCATGTACCCTTGGCAATGCAGCAACGCACTCACCGGTTGACATATCTGGCTGGTAAGCACCATTCGCTGACGCGGTTTCCGCCGGGAATCTTCAGCGGTCCGTTTGATTCCAGCTTCGACAGGTCCCAGCCCGTGTCAAGAAGCTTCTGCTTCGGCACAGATGTGCCTCACATGTCTCGCGCCCAGCATGACATGCACATTGAGCCAGGCACGTTGCATCATGGGTGCACCTCATGTGTTTAGCGAGTCCACGGGCATGACCTAACTAAGGTACTCAAACCTCGTCTCCAAGTTCCTCCCCACCAACACCCATGTCCCTCGTTAAACATTCCACATCGCACCCATTTGTCAACGTTCTCAAAAGCCTGGTGACTCTCAACACTTTGTCCTCAGTGATGACCCATCGTCCCTGTAGAGCCACATCAATGCCGTTGTACAGACTGGTCTCCGCCTGAGGGACGCCGTGCTCTATGATGCCATCGCCGGGAATGCGTGTGATTCGCACCGAGGCTGGATGGAACACGAACCGCGTAAACCTTTGAATCCTGTCTACCATTAATTTGGTGATGTACTCTTCACGAGAACGAACAGACCAGGTAGCCGAGTGATATCGGCGAACCGTGGCTGACGATGCTGGGGCTCTAGAAGAAGGGCTGTGGGCTGCCGAGGTTTCATGACAGCTTTCTGATGCTGACGAGCCGGATATAGCGAAGAACTGGTCGTAACCCGCCAGCTCGCAATGGCCCTCTTCTGGAGTTGCTATGCGTGTCAGCAGAGAAATTGGAACTTGGGCCTCCGGCAAAGCCAAGGGAAAGATGGATGGATGCTTACTCCCAACGAGAAAATCAGCAAGGTACGCATCTGCTTCTGCCGCGCGTCGCTGTCGAGGCGTCAAGCTTGATGATGATGTTAATGAAGTCGATTGGAAGAGGCGGCGGCGAGGCGTAGAAGGTGGTCTCGAGGGTTCACGGTTCGTCTGAGCCGAAGTAGGTGATTGGTATGGGTGAAAACGCTCCACGGTCCGACGACGATTGCTTCCGGCGGGCGTCCTCCTGCCACTCATCTTGGCGTATTTGACGATGGTGTGAAGACAAAAATTTCAGGTGCGCAGGTGTCGCGGCGACTGGCGTCGGAAAGGTCTCCTTACGATGACGATGGCAATACCCGGTAGGCAAGGTGGTTAGCCGCCAGGCGCACCCACTTCGCCAATGTGGTGTCTTTGCAAGGGGTCGTGAAACCTGAGCGTAGTGACTTCAAGACTGAAAATCAAAGTCAACGAGCTAATACTTTGACATCCGATGATGAGGGGAGGTGAAGTGCCTGAGGTTCCCCTCTTCAGCTGTTGTATTTGTTGTGACGATAGGCTGGCCACTCGTTGCCTGACTGAAAGCAAAAGATGTAGTTGTGGAAGAAAGAGGGTGGGAAAGCCTTGCGGGCGGGAGAAGAACAGAGCACCAGAACAGGAGTTTACAACGCTACTTAGCCCTTCTATTTTTCTAACGTTTTATTCTAAGCATAATTGAAATAGGCCATGTGGAAGGACGCCCCAGTAAGCCCTTGCTGTTAAAAGTTAACATATATTAAGAAGTTTAATGTTACGGTCAGCTATCCGACAGTAGGGTCTGCTAACAGAAGCTGGGGATTGACACGTAGTAACAGTACACTGAGGTCGTGGTCTGGGTCGTAGGTCGTAGGCTTGTAGTAGATCAGGTCTTCAGAGGCTAAGGTGATC